TGTATAGCTGCCACAGGGAGGATCGGTTAAAAATTAGGTTATTGTATGAAAAACTTTTTATTTTTCAAGATATCTTAACCATTCTTGGCATTAACTATTTTATTTTCTTCTTAGGAACGAGCAAAGCATTATGACCATTTTGAAAAGGTTCGTTCTGCAAGGGTATAAAATCTTCGGCGTGCCGATTCGGACCAGTAAAGAGTTTTTAATGGTGTAGCCATAAAAAAAAAATACATCAACAGTAATATAATTATAAAGCTGCATAGGATAAAGACGAGAAGCGTCTCTGAAGAATATAAAATATACTACACGGATGACTCTGTAACCAGTCGAACGGGCTCGATCAGGGCAGTTTTCCAGCCTTACGTAGATATGGCACTCTCTTCACTTACAGCAGTATTAATTGCCACAGTGAAATCGCTTGACAATGCCTTCTGCTTGAATGTGGCCTGTGCCGCCAGTTGCATTTACTTCACCCATCGGGACAAAACTTTCCAAAAAAGTGAATTTCACTTTATGCAAGGCCATGCTAGTATAGCGTACATATAATAACACATTAGACTCGGCTGCCTAAAATGCCCCAGTGTATAGAACATTCTAAACTGTGAACTGGACACTCAAGGATATCATTAGACTAGAATAGAGGCAAAAAGGTCGAATGGGAATGGAAGAAATCTAAACAGACTCCGCAGTGACAACGCTTTCCACAGACACACACTTGTCAAAATACACATTAACCCCGATAGCATATGCAGCTCATGCGATATTATCGATACTGCTTTGCACATAATATTCAGCTTCCACAGATATATAGCCACTCGATGGCTTCTTCCACCGTTTGACAAACAGAAGCACATACTCGAATGCAAAAAAAAAATTACAAGTTGCTCTTACAAAGATTAAATTAAATTTTTAAGATCTTGCCGTGTCAATCCATTCAGAGAGAGACCACGTCTCTATTGATGCAAATATCGATTACTATATGGCCATGACAGCATGCATATACAGTAGCAGTGAAGCTAAACGTGAGGAAGAATTTTTTAAGCCATTTAACCTTTAGAATAGTTGTGAAGAATTCTTAATTCAAATTTTGAATTTAGTAACAAAGATGCTAATGTTAAGTAAGAAAAATCACATTTAAAGACGGATCCCGAGCCATTAACTAAACATACGTACATATCGAATGGAGTCGAATTCTATTATTTAAAATTTAAGCAAAAATAAATTTTATTTAAATGCACACTGGCGCTAATTGCGTCATATTACTTTTTAATGCAAGGTGTGCAATTTATCATTATATACTGTAGATACCTTATGGTGTCGGTATGCGTTTCAATGCAATACAAATTATGACAAACAATGTTTGCATTTTAAAGCATTTAATGTCAAAAATTTGTTTATAAATTTGTCAAACTTGTAGTAAATAACATAAAGAAATAAAGTATAAATATTTTGTTTTTCAACTTTTGGTCTTTTTCAGAATTCTTCGACAAGCCGACGATTTAAAGCAATATAGTTCCCCACCTCAAATAACAAAATTATTATATAAACAAGTAAGAGGTTCTAGTCGGGAGCTCCCGACTAGGGGATACCCTGAACTCTCTTATTCTTATATACACCAAATGCAGCTCGCACTCGTTTGCTTTAGTAGTAATAAAGATAAATTAAAAAAAAAAGTTCCCTTGGCAAGGTTTGAACTCGCAACTGACCGGATTACTTGCTGCCGTCTCTACGCAACAGCCACACCAGCCAAAATATAAGTAAATAGTTTCCTCGGCAAGGCTCGAACTCGTAACTGACCGCGCTACTTTCCGCCGCCTCTACTCAATAGCCACACCAATAATTAAGTCTTAATGAGAAAAAGCGAGTTAAAGTTAAGCAGCACAGAAAACAATACAATCGCATGAATGTGTGTGTGTACATGTATATAGAAATTCTTGTAATTTGCGCTTGCTGCTGCACGTGTTTGCAGGCCAAAACGTGTTTCTCAACCGATCTTGATGAAATTTTCAGTAGTAGATCTTATTGTACTATAAAATATTCGTGTATTCTCAAAATGACAATTGCATTTAAATTGTGGCTTAATTAGATAGGCAAAACAAGTTGGTTTACTAACATGATTTATAGCCTTTAGGTAGTAGCGGGGCGGTGGCGATAGGTATAAAATGAAAGATAGTTGATATATATATACTATTCTAGAAGCTTCATGTCAAGTTTGGTGAGTAGTTAATGTTTACCAAAATTGCTCAAAAAACAGGATTTCGATATCGATTTTTATCGATTACTTGGAAACGGGGCAAATTATCGATTATCGGAAACAAACTCGATCAGCGCATGGACTAGGGGGACCTACATCTAAAATTTCAGTCTCTAGCTCTTATAGGTTCTGAGATCCTTGCGTTCATACATACGGACAGACGGACGGACGGACAGACAGACGGACATGGCTAAATCGACTCGGCTGCTGATGCTGATCAAGAATATATATACTTTATGGGGTCGGAGATGCTTCCTTCGACCTGTTACATACATTTGCACAAATACATTATACCCTTTTTACCAATTTTCAATGGGTTCAGGGTATAAATATAAAAGGGTCTACCAAAAAACCGAAGGCAGCGCCAACCCATTGCAGAAAAATCTCTGGCTCTCGACAAACGCCGTGATTTTATTGTGCGCACATCGACAAAATACATACTTATGTATGCTTGAATATCTCGGGGATTATTGAAAAGATATTCAGGGAGAATGAGATGCACACAAGCCCACAAAGCAATGAGTGAGAGCGAGGCACACTCTGCACATGCATACACACACATATTTTTGGGCTGTAAGGAATTAAAAACTAACATGATTTATGAAAAGGCATCATCCGCAGCGACGCTGTGCGCTGAGCGAGATACGGCGTCATACTGATCGTTCGGCTCTCGAGGCCATCGTTCGGCTGCCACTCTTAGCAGTCCTACTCCCTCTGGGAATAACAAAATGGTCGCAGGCACTCATGTGGCTCAGTCGCATTAAAAATTGTTGTTACGATTATTTTAGCATTTAAAGCATCTATGTATATATTGAATGGTTAGTGCTACACGTCTACCAATCTGCTAAAATAAATGTAGGATGATTTTCATATATTGCTAGCATCCTCTCGCTTTTTCTTAATCGTATTTAATTTTTTATGTATTTTAATCATACCTTTATAAATGAGGGTAAGCTCTGGCGGATGTAGTCCATGTTGTTAATAGCCAAACACCATTCTTGCGATAAAACTGAAAAAAAATGTCAAAACTAGTATAAGGAAAACTTATAACTTATTTACTTACTAAACATTTCCTCGTTCTCTTCTAATTTGGTTATGGTTTCTACACGGCGTGACATACGCTGTGCATAGAAAACGCAACATCGGCATATATCCTTTAAAACAAGGGTATTTGAAAAATGTATGATAAATTTTATATAGTGTTGTCAAAAATCTTACATTTACAATTTTCGCTACAAATGTGTACGATCCTTCTATTTCTGGCCAGTCCAATTGTTGCCAAAATATTTTAATCTGATAAAAAATGGCCAACGTGTCTACTGCAGATGAACTATACTTAACCGTTTCATCGACAGCATGGAGTTGGTCTAAGTCTATAGCTTTCTGAATGCGATTAAGGGCTTTTATTATTGAAATATCAAGCCAATGTGTTACACCCCTTTCAAACCATTGATAAAATTCAGTCATCTCCAATTTACAGTTGGGACATAGTGATTGCCCTATAATATCCAAAATTAAATTATGATAACCGTGCAGATACTTTTTTAAACTTTTTACCTAGAGTATTGTACCGTTTAAGAACCAAATAAACTTCAAATAATGTAGTTCCCATATTCACTTCATCAATATTTGGTAAATATTCAAACTGATCATCAGGAACATCTAACATTTTAATGTTGGTACACACTTCTTTTACATTAGTTTTACATATCTCCACCAGTTTTGAATCATAAAACAGAAATAGTGTAGTAGAATAGTTAAGACGAATTTTGCTGAAAGACAAAACATTTAAATGTATTAATAATTTTAGAAGTCAAACAGTTGTTTAAAAATCATCATTTTAAATGGCTATGGGATGTTTGTGCATGTGGATCGCCACAAGGCTTTTTATAAAAATTTTGTTGCTGTGAACCAAACTTTGATTCGAGTCAGTATTTCAAAACCCAGGCGTACCATAACCTGGGTTTTTTTAAAATACTACTGCAACTTTGTATACCCTTGTAAAGTGCAACTTCATTTTTCATGAAATGTGTAACACATATAAATAAAGAAATAAAGTATAAATATTGACAACAAAAAAACACAATTTTTCTTAAAATTTCGCCCATATATTTCGTCTGCAAGTGAAATGTTACACATAATAAACACACCCAACAAAACAACTAAACTATAAAACGGACACCGTAAATTGCGCAAAGATGTTACCACTAACCAAAAAACATATAGATAGGACAACCAGTGTAAACATGTTGGTCACCAAAAATTGGTTTACATCTGGTCCAACGAGCGAGTAAGATATACATATGACATCTTTTGATCGCTCACACTACAGGAAACTCCTTTGGCTTACTCTCTTCCATATGATTTGTGCGATAGAACGGCATCGCTGTTTTTTATCTCGCTCCCACTACTGGAAACTGCTTTGGCTTACTCTCTTCCATATGATTTGTGCGATAGAACGGCATCGCTGTTTATTTTTATCTCGCTCGCACGTACTCTCAGTGCTCTCAATGCTCTCTTCATGTCTAGGTACCGTTTAAATGTTTGTGTGTGCATGTGGCCACACAAGCAAAAATGCCCACAAATTCAATTTTTGTCAAAAGTCGGTGGTATTTCTTCCCTTTTGAGGGGACGAGTAATATGAAATAATGAAAGGGTTTGCCAAGTCGATGCGAAATTCTTTCATTTTAGCTCGGTATTGCTGGAAAGGGTACCTAAGCGTTGGCATGTGTGCATTTAAAAGTTTTTGGACTTGCTATTCACGCATACTCGCGTATTTTGTATATGAATAGAAGCATTTATGCGCATGTGTGCCTGTTGGTCCCTGCCTGCCTGTCCGATCCAAATTTGACAACATTTTGGAATTTCTGAATTTCGAGCTCTGCGCACACACACACACAGACACAAATGTGTGTGAATGGGCAGATCATGGGCGCAAAAGAAAATATCATTTTTGGCACGCGTCTGTCGCGCACCCTTCTTTTTTATGATTTTGCACACACAAACATTTAAACGGTACCTAGACATGAAGAGAGCATTGAGAGCACTGAGAGTACGTGCGAGCGACATAAAAAAAAACAGCGATGCCGTTCTATCGCACAAATCATTCGGAAGAGAGTAAGCCAAAGCAGTTTCCTGTAGTGGGAGCGAGATAAAAAACAGCGATGCCGTTCTATCGCACAAATCATATAAAAGAGAGTAAGCCAAAGGAGTTTCCTGTAGTGTGAGCGATCAAAAGATGTCATATGTTTATCTTATTCGCTCGTTGGACCAGATGTAAACCAATTTTTGGTGACCAACATGTTTACACTGGTTGTCCTATCTAAATGTTTTTTGGTTAGTGATGTTACGGAACTGCTCTCGGTGGGCAGCGCTGGCTGGCTCATCGGTTCTCAGGGTGTAGTCCCATCCCTGGCCCGCAGTCCGCACTATCGATATCAACAAAGCTACGTCTGTAGCAAAACAGACCTACACAACACTATTCAAAATGAACGACATAATCGATAACAACAAACTGTCGGAACTTCTAACAAATGAACAACACTAACAGCTGTAACACAAGAAAATGTAAACAACAAAGGTGAGACGCTCAATATAAATTATCAAAAAACACTATTTATCCACTCTACTCTTCCAGATCGGGTCCGGGGTTCCGGACCCAGCGTACCCGTCCTACCTGAGACGATCACCTGATCTCGTCTCCCTCATTTTGGCCACTTGATGGCCTGCATCAGCCCGTGTCGGCAGTTATGCCCACTCTCCCCATAAATTTAACCTTAGCCGGACATTCTTTTCCTTCAATGTGTGCATATAATTGGTTGCATTTTCTTGAAATTAATAACAATTAATATCATGTTTTTCCTTAGTGCATTGATCTTTGCAGCTATTTACAATCTCACGCGGATATTTCCCTCAACTTTGTAATAATAATTATGTAGAATATGTATTAATTCCAAAAAATTACAATTTATAGCCGAACAACACAAAGAAGGGGAATGACATCACTGAAAGTTATGGCCAATTGCCGCCGGGAACAACGTTGGAGAACGAATTTATAAAACTTAATTGAGCGATTGGCTCCCCCACACACTCATGCCGTATATACGCATGTATAACCACGTTGAAAAAAAATGGTATGTGGTAAAAATTCTTGTATATAAAATATTTATATAAATTAAATCGCTTAATTACTTTAAGCCTACCTAAAGAGCCAGACCCAGAGAGATTGCTAAGGGTAAGTAAATGATTATCTCGTTTATATATATACGTATGTACGGATAGCGTGGAATCAAAACTTTTCCTTTTCAGATTCCCCTGGCACCAGCCGTAACCTTTTGGTCGTCTCTTTCGATGCAACCTCGGCAATGTATGTATTCCTTTTTTTTCTTTTAGTTAAATTTTAGATTGCACAGTAGGCAACAAAAACTAACTGATCTTAATTATGTAAAAATTTCTTATTCTTATCTTTGACCAACTAAAATGGGACCGAGTTGGACTGCCCCTCGGTTTCACTGGGCCCTGCCTCTAGAGGGTGGCAAAACGCTCTCGGACTCACTCGATACAATGGGCGTGGTCTCGCCTGTGTCAGCTTCCTCTCCAGGTCGACTCGGTGTCGGCGACGGGGCGAAGAGACGTTGGCAGTCGCCGACGTGCCTTCTAATGCGGATCCCTCTCGCGTCGATGATATTGGCCAGGCCACAGATAACGGCTTGTGAGGCGGGAGAACCACCCGGCCGTCCTCTGCGTGGCTCCTTGGCTGGCTCTTTGATGTTTATTATTTTATGTTATTTTTATCTTGTTTGATTATCTTCTGAGCATTAATCTTGTCAATAAATTTTGGCGCACGGCTCAAGTTGTTTCCTTTTTATTCACGGCCGACGCTGCTCGATGTATTTTTGTGTATATGGGTTTATATACACATATATATTTTTACTACGTTGCGCGGCGTTATTTTATCATATAGAATTTAATTTTGTAAACTTTGCCATTTCATTTGGCCTTACACAATGTTAATTTATTTAAATTGAATTTTAAATTTTCTTTCAAGGGTGCGCTTGCGCACAACACGTTTGTCGTTCACCGCTGACCAAATCGAACTCCACGCTGTACACTTGGGCAGCAACATCATGGGCAGGCGATCCGCTCTCTCTATAATCTCAACACAGCTCAATTAAGCTAAGCGAAGGAAAGTTCTACTTGTCCCATAATTATTGGGTGTCGTGTTCCTTTTGGGACGTCTTCAGCCGTGTAACATATTACAGCTAATACCTGGATTCCACCTTCTTTCACGATATTGTCGAGGAGTTGCAGGATACATTCACTGTGTGCAGCCGCAAAGGTACTGCCCTTTCTACATAGCTATTTACTATACTATTTGATTGCAAAACGTTTATCGCGAAGAAGGTTTCAAGATTTAATTTCACTTTGTGCTTTGTAGCTTATTATGATCTGTCTTATGTTATAAGTGACGCAAAAGATGTTTGTGGTCCTTAGGTGAGGTTTTGTACAAAAAGACCGTTGATTTAATCGAATGGGCTTAAGACTTTGATTATGACCGGAATTAAGGTCGTTATCTTGAATTTTTCGTATTTCGGGTATCTCGCAGTGCGCGAGTTATCTTCCGTGGCCGAGAGAGATAACGAATAGGTTCCTGGTTGAAGGAGGTTGTTAAACCAGTTTCACGTGTATTGTTCTTATATATATATTATATTTTAAATAATATATTTTATATATTTAATAAACAACCAACTGTTGGGTTTGATTCTTCGTTTATTCTTGAATCTTATGCTAACCTAATGTTTACAATATGTTTTGGAATTGTTTCTCAACAAGAGTCTGAGAAATTGCTGATTTAGCTGTTTTCAATTTCTAGCGAAAGAAGTGTCGCAACCACATCCCCTTAAACTGCTTCGTTCGGAATTTGATACAATGTACTTAAAAATTGTGACAATGTACTGATGCCCTCTTGAGTGGGCAACGAGATGTAAGGGGAAGGGAGTGCCATTCTATTCGCTTCTTGGTGGATTAGTTTGAGGTAGCGACTCTGCGATACCCTCGCTGGGAGATACGGTAACTCGCTCTCAGTTTTTTGCCTAAGCTGTTTTTTTAAGGCAACGACCCTTCTGTCTGAAATTTCAGCTTCTGCGACTAGGGCGCTCCGTACTGTGGCTAGACTCGCAAGGTTCATGATTAATCAGTACAGGTTCACTGTTACTTTTGCTTGTACATTTCTTAAATTTGGTTTTGCTTTCAACGAGATAAAAAATATAAAGGGTATTTCAATTGAAAGAACTGTATTTGACTTATTTTATTTAAATGTTAAAGTAAACGCACAATAGTGCACTTGATTTCCTTAACAACAGCGAGGGTTAACCGGCGGCAAAGTGGAGCGCCGATTAGTTTTATAGGTATTACGTGTTTGCACTTATATGTATGTATGTAGGTATTGCGTATTTGAGGCCAACGAACTGCAATTTGAGCCGTGTTCGCGAAAATGTGTGCTTAGCACTGATCTGCAGTAAGCAAGTTGGTTATTATAATGCCAGCTTGTTGCATAACAACATGAGATAAACTAATATTACTGGTAGTAATAAACAGTGATTTGTAAAAGCTTTGGCATCTGGATTCCGCAGTATAACAATAGGCAGGATCGTATTGAATCAGTTTAGAAGCAATTTCTGTTTTTTTCCTTACGAGTTTTAAATTGGGACCCAAATCTTCGGTTGCCATCCTACTCCAGCAGGCTTCTTCTTCTTTAATCTTCCGTCGTTAACCAAGGGCAATCCTCGGTGTTGTCTTCATACATAAGGTGTTTTTAGCGACATTGATTCTTCATTTTTGTTAGGTTGTCTTCAATTATCTGTTCCGTCTAGACCTACTATAAATTTCCCCCACCGGGTCGGTGATTTCCCATCACTAACTCTTCATCCCGTCTACTTAACACGTTATATATCTAGTATAAATTTTCTTACTTAATTAAGAACTTCTAAGCAGCAGTCGCATCAAATTAATATGAGCAAGTATTCAAGAACTTAGGTTGGAGAAACAGCTGTTCGTTGTAATCAAGGTTGGAAAGTCTCTCTTGCACTTATCGCAGCTGCTATAAAAGTGCATATTCATCTTTATCTCACACACTTTCTTTTTCGTTGTTGATCGAAGCGAAGCAAATAAATATTTCTGAGCCACAGATAAATAACATTATATCTTATATAAATTCGACAAATAAAACTTTTTATAACGCGTTGTTGTGAAAAATCAAAATTGAGTTTAAATCTTGATTAAAGTTTCAAAACAGTTTGTAAAAAACATTATCAACTCAACATTTGGATTCAGCTTATATACATACGCTTGTACATAAGCAGCTGCACAATTCGTCGCGTTTTTTTGTGTGCGTTGTTCTTCAGCTAAATAGTTTTGTTATTCCGATTTAGAGTTTGTGAAAAACAAATCACCCAAGGCGAGAACACAAGTGATATGCAGGCAAACAGGGTGCTTTTTCTTAAGCGCAAGGCGGTTGCATTGTTGGAGCGAGCCAAGGGTACTGAAAAGGATTTATCTGAGGAGAAAATTAATACCTCTTATGCCGCCGACTTAGAAGTACTTCTTTTCTTAATTGAACAAACTAAGTCTGCCTTTAATGCCGCCCATAACACACTAGCGGAGCTGAATTTTAATGCAATTTGCAGCAAGTTACGCAATAATTTCGACGAGGTGGTAGCCATGGTTAAAGCTCGCGTTTGTGTACATATTTAGCGAAGTCAATCTAACGCCCCGTCCCATTCAACCTTTGTTCGTCATGGGGATTTGTTAAACCCAACTGTGATCGTGGCCAAAAGAGTGCGCTTGCGGGCAGGGGTTTCAATGACTTTGCTGCAATTGTACAGCAGCCAAGTTCTGCACAGAAACGATTTTTGCTTGTGCTCGTTGTTCTGTTAAAGCTTGTACCTCTGTTTATTGGTGTTTTTGGGGGTCTACGAAACCAAACTTTATTCCGCTCCTTGACAATTCATTCTTTAGAATGTTCAAGAAAAACTCTTTCATCAAAACTTCATTGAAAATGCGCAACTCACCAACACCCTTCGACGATATGCAACACCACACCATTACAAAGAGCTTGCCAACTTTACAGTTGGTATTACATTTCTTTGCTCTAGAGCTGTGTTCGGCTTCTTCCAAACTTTGCTGGGTGCGTTATAACCTTAATGTTATACGAACATTATTTTTGTCTCGTCGCCAAAAATAACGTCATCCCAGTACTACACGGTCTTGGTGACATGGGCAATAAAGTCTCTGAATATTTATTGCAGACAGTAATGGCTTCTTTCTGGGTATTTGCGAGCAGTACTTATGCATTTTAAAAACATTTCGAGCTGTCTCATGGATCACTGTCTTCAAGCAATCATTTTTAAGTCCGATGACAACTGTCATTCAAAAGTCATTTGGGGATAATTGTTAATCTGTTTTAAAATTTTTTAATGTACGCATCTAGTGAGCTTCGGTGGGCTGCCTCCGGAGGGTTTTGATCTAAGCTCTTTTCTTTTTCGGCGCGGTTAATGTTATAAATAGTTCTTAGCCTAATTGGGAACAATTCCGCTTAATTCCTTAGCAGATTTCCTCTTAGGGTAGTAGAAATAAACTAATTTAATTAGGTTTTCATTATCTCGTTCGCCAGGCATTGTAAAAAGCACTAAATTAGGCAAGATGTGTGCTGTTCAAAACGCAAAATACTTAAGAAGGCATTCGCACAATACATAGCAATGACTCATTTATTTAATTTTTTTAGAATTGGAAGTACCGTAAGATAGCTTCGGCTCTGTTTCAAATTGTGTTTGAATTTTGCTACGAATTAATTGACAGCCCAATATTTGCCCAATTTTATTTTTGTCTGTTTTTTATACTTTTGTGTTTTGAATTTTGGAATTTTTTATACCCTGAACCCATTGAAAATGGGTAAAAAGGGTATAATGTATTTGTGCAAATGTATGTAACAGGCAGAAGGAAGCATCTCCGACCCCCATAAAGTATATAAATTCTTGATCAGCATCAATAGCCGAGACGATCTAGCCATGTCCATCTGACTGCCCGTCTGTCCGTCCGTATGTATGAAAGCAAGGATCTCAGAACCTATAAGAGCTAGAGACTTGAAATTGTAGCTGTAAGGCCACCTAGTGCCCGCGTAGATCGAGTTTGTATCCGATATTTGATAACTTGCGCCGTTTCCAAGTAATCGGTAAAAATCGATATATTTTGGTAAATAATAAGAGCTAGAGTCAGGCTAGGCAAACTTGACATGTAGCTTCTAGAATAGTGTATATATATATATCAAGTATATTCATTTTAAGCCTATCACCACCTTCCCGCTACTACTTCATAGCAATAAATCAAGTAAATAAACCAATTTATGCTGCCCACAATATAAGCTACAATATAAATGAAATTGACTCTTTGATAATACACGAATATTCTCTAGTACAATATGATGTACTGCAGAAAATTTCATCAAGATCGGTTAAGAAACACGAAAGAAAATATGTTTTGGCAGCCCATGTGTTTACGGCAGCAAGCGCAAATTGCAAGAATTTCTGTATACATGTACGCACAAACATTCATGCGCGTCTGCTTTGAATTCTATCAAAAGCATTGCAATTATCGTTTTCTGTGCTGCTTTTTAGTTGGTTTTTTTCTCATTAAGAGTTAAGTATTGGTTTGGCTATTGAGTAGAGGCGTCGGAAAGTAGCGCGGTCTGTAGTGAGTTCGAACCCTACCGAGGGATCTATTTTTTTGTTGTCTAGTGTGGCTGTTGGGTAGAGGCGGTGGCAAGTAGTGCGGTTAGTTGTTGTAGTTAGAGTTCGAACCCTGCCAAGGGAACTTTTTTTTTTTTTAATTTATCTTTATTACTAATAAAGCAAACGCGTAGCGCGAACTGTATTTAGTGTTGGAATCAGAGGGTTCAGGGTATCCCATACTCGGGAGCTCCCGACTAGAACCTCTTACTTGTTTGCCTCATATTTATGAAGAATACTTATAATAATACTTATATGCAAAAAAAAAAAAATAGAAAAAAAGGTTGAGTAGGTAAAATATAAGTTTAAGAAAGAATTTATGTGATGTTTTTCATTTGCAAACAATTATGTGAACTTTTAATATTTCTACTATTTCATAAATTTACACAAACTAATTTTTTACTCATGTACAAATGAATAAAATGTTTGTATCTTCAAGTCAAACGATGATTTTTAAAGGAGCCTTTTATCGCTTATATATTATATTTAATAAAATTAGTATCGATACTTACTGGTAAAACAATTTATCAAAATATTCCATTGCACGTTGTAGATCTGCTCGAACCATTTGTATTATTTTAATAACATTTTGCAATTTATTTTCATCGGAACCATTGTCTTTTGTTAGATTGCTGCCTTCAATAATATGTTCCATCCATTCTTTCGCTCCACTATTTATTGCATCAACGATAGCGGAATCGATATTGCATGATTCTTGAGAATCACCTTTTTCCATCCATCCATAGACTGATTTAGGAAATATTTCAATTGTTTCTGGCACTTCAAACGTTTTCAGTTTCGATAGAATATCTAATACTTCAGAGAGTGCTTTTAGTATTTTGTTATCACTGACGTTTCTGGAGCGTAGTTGTCTTAATACCGAAAAGCAAGATGGCAGCAGCCTTTTTGCACCCTCCCAAAATGTTTTAAGGTTTTCAGAGTCTTTTTGTAAACAGCTAATTACTGAAACCAAAACGTCGAGTATAGAATTGAAGAGAACAAAATTAAGTTTGTGGGTCTCATGAACAGTACTATACGCATGCCATTGACTAAGTGCACAATCGAAGGAAGATAGTCCACTTTGAACAGCGTGTTGAGTTCTAATAGCTTCGGCCATGGAGCTAAATTTACCGCTCCACCAAAAGTTGGCCACTTGCGACGTATCCAACTCATGCATGAGTAACAATTTTAAAAGGTGTTTATGTTCTTGGGTTGCTACATTTTTATTTTTTTCAGCACTTAGCGCAATATTCACTAAAATAGATCCGCGACTCTTTGTTTTACTCCCTTTTTCCAGATTATACCAAACTGTGAGTCCAGAAACTGGAATAGACTTTAAAAATTTTAAATTATAAAAGAGTGAAGGTAAATCATAATAGCTCATATTTATCTAATTTAAAATTGGTCAAAAGAGGTATAAAGAAATTATGTAAATATATGTTACAGGCAGAAGGATGAAAGAACCAATCCTTCGAAATATATTTACTACTGATATGTATTAACAGCCCTGTCAGTATGTCCGATTGTCCCCTCGAAAACGTTGAGCCATAATACCCATAACATATTAAAATAGAATCTAAGGCAATAAAACCGCGCCCATGTATTTTCTGTGACATTTTAACCCGCAACATAATTTTTGCATTAGAAAATCACTTGCTCGTGGTTTTACAGCGCAGGAGAGTAATTTCGTAGTAGTAATAGAATTCCGATTTGACCACTGGTGGTACTTAAACGCCTCATACGAACAAATACAAAAAAAAAAAAAAGATCACGTTAAAGCTTTTAGTCATTTTCTTGCTTCATTTGTTTTCGTTTTGCCTAATTTATGTGCAACAACGACTACGAGAAAATGATAGTTCTCCTTTCGTCTCTGTGCTTATGGAAAATCGTTTTTCTATATCTTCAACATGCATTGTTGCTGGTATAAAAAGTTTTTCGTACACTTAGATCAGCGCCGTCAAAATTTGCGGTACTTTGCTTCACATTGATAAACCGCAGTCAACAGCTATACAATTTATTTGGTAGCATCTCAATCTCAAGAACGTTGGGAAAAAGCTTCTGTCGCATTATCACAATCTTCCGACTCCTTTTCTACCCATTGTCTTTAATCCGATGATTTGCTCTGGTCACCATCACAGTTCTGATCATAAGCCGCTCTGGTTTATTATTTTGTTGTGGAAAACCACTTGATTCAGGCTCTTGACTGTTTTTAGTTAGGTGTCATATTTCTACTACTCAGCTACTGTTTGATGTCTTGGGAATAAAAACATGTATATAGACACGAATCTACAGCTAAAGTTCTACTGCATTTTTGAGTATTGGGCGAATCAAAAGCTTTTCAGAATTACCTTTCTACAAAACTTCAAGGAGCGCATAAGGTGACGCTTTTGGCAGTTTTCAGTACGGCGGTTAACGACGCTATCTATATAGATGCTTGTCTGAACGAGTTGGTTCGTCGATTCATAAGGTGGGTTCAGTCATACAGACTAAATAAATGCACTCATCTAATTTAACTACTAGGATACATTTGCAAAATGTATTGCTGTCTTTGTGTGATCTTTCGTGATTATTGCCTCAACCGTATTTTGTGGCGGAAGTGTAATCTACAATTTGAACTCTGCGACCCATGTCACACCTTACCTTATTCTTGTGTGTTCACGCAACGTTGTTTGTTTCCCAACAATATTTGTATGTAGATGATTTTATTACTAGAGAAAACACCATAGTTAAGGCTATAGACAACGTGATAGCAGATTTCCTCGTGACACCTCAAATCATCGGAAGACGATGGCATCGACATTGCCAAAAATTTTGTCTTATTTGGGATCCTGTGTCCAGCCACCTGATGTTTTATTGTCACCCATTTGTCTACGATTGCCCAATCTCGCCCTTGTAAGTGCGCGATTCACAATGCGTTAACTGTTTGAAATTTAATTTGCACTTTTCAGTTGCGCGTGTGACTTTAGGTAAATAAGCTAACCTCGTAGCTGATTTAGACCCTCTTCAGAATATGCCCTTTTTAGAATGTCGTCAACACAAAAGCCTTTTAAGAGAAGCTTTGCAGCGCGTGAGTATTCTTCATTTTAATCTGTTGCATATTGTTCCAACACCCTGACAGCTAGAAATTACGCACATGATTTGCCATATAAGACTGTGCAAAATATTATGATTAAGCAACCCAGACAGTGTGATCTTACAACTCGCTGATAGCTTTGGTAATCGTCAGTGACCCAGATTTGAAGAAATATTATGATTTTATCTGCGGAAAATATAAGCATATGAATTTCAAAGTGTAAGCATACAGCGCTAGATACATAAACCCACTTGAAGGGCATTATTTAGTGCGGACCCTTTAATGTCTTATTCTTAAACCAACATCAAAGAGTACGACGTCTTTCGATGACATGGCCTGTCACAGATCGCTAACGTGGATTTATAGACGTTTTGCCCTTTAACGCTCTTTAATGCCCAGAATTTTAGGTGCATCGTTCTGAAACCCCGTGTGCAAATCAAAGTGCGATAATGCATAGTTTTGATACAATGTCTATGTGACACATGGTGGAGAGTGAACTTTTTTCCTCCTTGTCCAAAGAAACAGTTTGCTTCGATCAGCGATTTTTTTTGATTATAAATGTTTATTGTATTGGATCAAAAATGGCATACATTTTTATTACAACACAGTTGGCTTTGGTGATGTTTCGCCACGCCTGGTTGAGTCCTCAGGCTTTATCGTGGCAAAAGTAAAAGGCGTTTGTTTTAAATAACGCTCCATCGTCATGTAGCTAGTCGGGTGACTCTGGGGCGTCTCCTATGTCGTGCTTGGAGGAGGTCCTTCAACGATCTTCTCTTGAGCCTCCTGACTAAACACCTCACAGCGAGGTCTCTTGCTAACCGGTTGCATTGTCGCTGCAAGAGTTCGTTGTACTGGTTGGCGAATGCTCCGACTTGGCTGTCTATGGTCGCCATTTTGATGTCTCTGAGAACTTCTGTAGAACTTCTGACGTACCAATTTTTAGAGTGTCTGAATCTGTCTTCGATTTGTCCCAGATGCAATGTCCCAAACCTGGATACCGTATCTCCAAGTTGGCGCCACCAAGACGATGTAAGCAACCGGTTGACGCGGAGTAGCAATGGCCTTGGCCATCTTAAGGCGGCACTGCTTAAGAAGGCCGTTGATGTGCGCCTGAAAGCTAAGCCTCTTATCCAACACAATTCTAAGATACTTGGCGCTTCTGCCAAGGTGCCATATATCCAGACGGCTGGAGCCTTGGCGCGCCTCAGTGTGTAGTTGACCGCCTAGCACTTCGTGCCCAGCTCTCAAGCAAGTGGATGTATTCCTGGGCCCCGTCAGTGGCTTCGTACTCGAGTTGGCCGGAGTAAAAATATTGCCACATCAACGGCAAATGTAGCCATCAGGTGTTTGCCAGGGGTGGCAAAATCGTTTAGGTCATCCGGAGATGTCCGGGATGTCTGCCGTGTACAAATTGTAGAGAAAGGGGCCCAGAACGCTGCCTTGAGGTGCTTTCATTTTGCGAACAGGAGAGATTGCTGAGCTAACTTTGACTTCGAACTTTCGCTCCGTTAGATACGAGCGCAGAAATAGAAAGTAGCGGGCGGGGAGACTCATTTGGATATTCTGGAGCAATCCATCAATCCAGACTTGGTCGAAGGCCTGCTTAACGTCTGCAAAGACTCCATAGCAGTAGTCTTTGTCGTAAGCCTTAAGAATATCGTTAACCACTCTGTGAACCTGTTCAACATTGCCATGCTCTCCCCTGAACTCAAATTGGTGATCAAAAAGGATGGCCATGTGATCCATAAGCCTTGCAAGTCGGGCGACAATCAGTCTTTCCCAGACCTTCGACAAGGATGGCAAGAGACTGATCGGCCGGTATAACTCAGGGTCATATTCCGACTTGCCCGACTTATGGATTATATGGATCCTCGCTAACATCCACTGGGCAGGGAAGTGCTGTGTCCTGAATATGCCGTTGAAGATCAACTAGTCTCATTGGGCTCTTCTGGGGAGGCAAAATCAAAAGGTGTAAACCGTTCCTCCAGGTAACTGGCGAAGGTATTAGCTTGCTCTTCGTCTGTAAGGCAGTATTGTCCATTGTGGCGAAGAAAGGGAACGGTTTTCCAGGGTTGGCGCTTCAGGTTTTAAGTTGCTCGTCAGAGCGAGTATCCTGAGTCATGGGTATAGTCCATGCTCTCCAACCTTCTAGAGAAGGATGCGTCTTTGAGTCTGCGAAGGGCCTCCTTGAGTTGCCACTCCGCCTTGTCCCACGGATGCTGCGTTGAATGGCGTCCTCTACATTTAGTCCAGTGCAGATTTCGGTGCTGAGGTAGATACTTTCACTCATCTGTTTCTCAGGATCGGTATTGCGCTGACCCCCTTGGCCCTGCTCTCCAGGGTAAGTATCAGGGCCAGGTGGGGGCTCGGGATATCCCAATCGTCAGCGACTGAGAGGAGCTGGTCAGAGATCCCCTGGTAGATGGCGAAGTCTATGTAAGTCGACGTGCCTCTGTTGCCATACAGGTATCTTGTGGGAACACCTGTGGCCAATAACTTCGCTTGACGATGCGCTAGGCTGCTAGCTAGTTTGCCGCGCGCATTGCTGCTATTTGCGCCCCATACCCAGTGATGTGCATTCCAGTCGCCTCCCACCAGATATCTGCTTCCAGCCGAGTTGAGTATGACGTTGAAGTCATCAGTCGCCGTCTGCTCATTGGGACTGCAATAAACTGCTCTAAAGTCCATGTTACCAGCACTTTTCGCAGTCGAATATTGGTAAACACGATTGGCAATGCTCGATTGCGGGAAGTGTATCAAGTTACTTTGGGTAGGGACAGCGCAGCCAACACTAGCTGAGTGATTTTGAGTCCAGTGTACAGGGTACGCCTCGAAGCCAAAGATTCTGCGGAAAGTAGAACTGCTGGTTCTAGTCTCTGACAGCAGAATTATTCCGATGGCGTGTTTTTGTACTAGGGGCTCCAGCTCCAGTAATTTACCAGAAATGTCATTGGCATTCCAGATTAATACTTTCAGTAGTGTGTTTATTTGGATAGCAACGCGGTTAAAATGGTAATGCTGTTGCATACCCAAAACCTGCTGTTACATTTCTGCTATCCTCTCGATAGCTCGGCTCATGTCCTTGATGGCAGAGGAAAGTTCTTCTCCGTTTCCGGATATCTGCTATTGCTGTTGTTGCGCAGTCAGCCTCTCCTGTTACTGTTCCCTCAGCAGTCTATGAAGCCTAGCTAACGCTGGTCCATCTCGCTGGCTAGAGCTGGGGGCGTTCTTCACTTTGCTGAATGCAGCTAGTCCTCTTC